GTAAACGAGAATGGTGTACAGTAATGTCTCCCCAATTGACCATAAAAGTGGACAATTAGGAAGAGAAAAGATACGATTATCCGATCCTTGCGGTTCATTTTTATAGTTACGAATTGTCGATAATTATAAAAACGAGCTGCGAGGCTCGAATAATCGTGTCTCCTCTCTCCAAATTGTCCATTTTTGTGAACAATCTGGGCGTCAATTAGAGAGACATTACTGTACATCGTTGTTCTTCGTCGAGATAGTTCCAGTTTCCATTGGAAATAAGAAACGCAGAGGTCATGTACCTGGAAGAACAAACCATCGGATCCGGTAGTTTCTGAGAAATGCGTGCAACAAAGTTGGAGAACTGGGTTCCGAGGAAAACGTGTTTCAAGTTTTGTAGGCGCACGCTTCGTCGATGATGTCGGATCCGTTAAATCTTTAAATCTCCAAAAAGTTTTACAATTTCACGATTGTTTCGCAATATGCGATCTCACGTGCGCCCTTTGAAACTGAAAATTCTAGAGGCGTCGTTGTTTTAAACGAACAAAAATTCATTTTCGTCGGAATTAACATTGCAAACAGTAGACGATCGCAATAAAGGGGCTTCGTTTAAATCGTAAGGATATTTAATAGCGATTAATACAAAACGACACAATTATCTTGTTGAACGATAATATTAACGTTCGAATACAAGAATACCATGATCAGTCTATTAAAACACAGTCGCATCGGGTCAATGGTAATTGTTAAAAGCTAAGGTCAAATTTTTCTGGAAGAGAAAATTTTTCCACCATCGAGTTTGGGGACGCGCATTTACGAATTCAACAACCGTTAGATAAATATATCGGCGATGACGCCAGAAAGATAAAAACGTGGTTCTAAAGTTAGAAACGTAACTCGAAATCGCATATCTAAAACGTTGTCGCTATGAATGTCTGAGCAGTATGTTGATAAAGCGATGAATAATCGTGTCCGCGTTTCTCATAAATTCGTCAACGTCGAAGCTTCGAGAACTTCATTTTGCTAAAAAGCAAACTAGGTTCTCAGAATTTTCAACTTTAAACATTTTCTCTGATCTAACGTTGAAAGGTAAACGAATTAATTTTCGTCAGCGGCGATTCTGCAGGCCCTTCTAACCGCAGAAATAACATTATATGACATTATATAATATTATATGACTATAACATTAACCGCGCTATAGCATAAATTTCTACAACAATACGAACAATGTCGAAACACGGACACGCGAAAGCGAACGGATTCCGAAGGATCGATCGAACGAGTAATTCCTTTAACCGCCGGTTGGAAAATCGTGGAACGCGAATAAAAAATTTCCGTGGAAAATTGACCGAAACAAGGAAGTTAGCGAACTCGCGGCGTTCGCAGCGACCGCGATTTAAATTACCGAAAATTTGAAGGAAAGAGTAGTCGGTTTGCAAGGAGCTTCAATTTTCGGGAAACTCGGGTCCCTCGGCGCTGTTGCAAGCCGGCAACGTTTAATCACTACGAAATTAGGATAACCTCGTGCTGCAGGATCGTGGTTAAGCCGAACCTCGAAACCTAGCCACCTATGATGTGGTCTTTCAAAGTAGATACACACGGCGTGCTGGAGGAAGACGCGGCCCCCGGGAAGCAGAACCGAGGAAGACGGGAACATTTGCTAGACGGTGTCCGTAATCAAAGACCCACCATTGCGATATCGAAAGCCCTCAAAGTTAAAGCTACTCCAGCAGCTCCGTCATCACCTGCCACCGACCTCAAAATCAAGAAGCTGATGGCGTTACACGCCCTCCCGTATCTGCCGTACCATGAAGCTGCCGGCGTGATATTGAGTTTCGTGCAATGAATTCGGATGACGTCGAATATCCCTCGTGAATGTCGATACAACTATCGCTGAATGCTTGATTACACCTACAGCGATCCTCCAGGGACCACAAATCTACCATAAACAGGTGTGTTACCCGCTTCGAGCGAACCCCTCGTCCGACGAAAGAAGGACACGGATTTCACGTGATTCTTTTTTTCCCCCCATTGAAATGTAATTTAAGGAAACATTATTTCGCAAATGAACGGTATTTTGGAAGCTGACTGGAAGAGCGAATAAATCTGAAATAAATTGCAATTGGACTGCGGAATTTATGCATTTTTCGCAATTTAAATACCGAGTTCTAAACGCGACTGGCGTATATTGTTTTACAACAATGCCAAGACTGGATTTATTTCAACCACTCATTTTGACCGGCTTCATAGGAAGTGTGGTGTTAAAAGTAGTGTTAAAATAGCAGAAAGATTGAAAAAATTAAAAAACGTCGATGCATAATTTTTAATCTATTGAAACGAGTGAAAAATGGACAAACTTGCTATTTAGTTTCTATTTATTTCACTGCGATTACAATAAGTCACAGAGAATGCATAATGCAGATTTTTGCAAGTGCAACGTTGTTCGTCCAGAGCTTCGAGCCTGGTATTTCGATTTATTCGACTCTGTAGGAATACTCGGCGGTGCAACGGGCGACTGGCGATGGGCGACGCGGCTCGGCGTGCAGCCGCGGGGCAATGTCCAGATGCAATCTTTCCTTTGCGTTCTTCGGCGATCGGGGCTGGCGCACCGATTACTTGCCACCTGGCTCGACCACCACTCTCTGTAATTGCATTTTCGCCACGATCGATGCGCATTATTGTTGAATCGTGCATTAACGACGTCATTAATTCGAGCGTACGACGCAAACGAGATCGCTCGGTCGTACGTACACGTCGGGAACATTACGAAACTGCGCGGCGCGCTTTAATGATCGCCGTATAAATTACACGTGTCCCGCAACGTTCCTTTCGGCTGCTTGGAATTTTTCGTACGGCCGTTCCGCGCCTTTTCGCGCGGCCGTTTCACCTTGAACGGCACGCGCGTGACGAGCGCGACCGAGCACAATGATCGTGAAATTTGATCGTGTGCACTTGACACCGTGCATCCGCAGAGGAATGTTGCTTCGATGTCGCTCTGCCTGGGTATGGTGCTGCTGACAGGTATAGTTCTTGCGCGACAAGAAGACACCATTGGGTTTATATTCCCCCTCTTAGTAGCTTCCCCACTGTCGCGGCTCTCCGCTGGTAGCTATAGTCCTCGCGCGACAAGAAGGCACCTTTTTATGTCCACATTCCCCCTCTTATACCAGCTGTCTCACCGCCGCGGCTAGTAAGAGGGGGAATGTGGACACAAAGGTGGCTTCGTTCGAAACAAAAGTACTTTGCGAGCAACTCTCCGCTTTTAGCTATAGTCCTCGCGCGACGAGAAGGCACCTTTGTGTCCACATTCCCCCTCTTACCAGCCGCGGCAGTGGGACAGCTAGTAGGAGGGGGAATGCTAACTCAAAACTGCCTTCTTATCGCGCGAGGACTATTAGGACTCCGCTATTAGCGGAGAGCTGCTCGCAAAGTACTTTTGTTTCGACGAAATAGCTAACTAATCGAATAAATGGTACAGTGGACATTATTTGCCGACAGTACGGTTAATTATCCGGGTACAATATCAGTGAAAACGAAGCGAAGGAACTGTAAATTACAGTCGATTTATTTATTCGAAGAACAACCATCCTCCTCCGAACATTCGACTGAAAAATATTTCCGCACCAACACAATTTTATGTTTGCTTCGAATGATTTATTTGGGAGAACCCTGTACATCGAGTTTTAGTTCGTACAATCGTCGAAAACCGAATCTTGTTGTACAATTAAACGGACAGATATTTTGGTGTTACTTCGTACTTGTGTGCTAGATGTCTAAAACTAGTTCTCTAAACTATCGTTACCAAGGCCATTTGTCTTAGAAAATAAGGCCGTCGATCACATTCTCGCGCAGACCGAGCTAAATCAAAAGAGAGAGAAACCCAATGTTCCTTCACGTTCGTCAAAAGTTTTATATAAAACATAGCATTCGTCGGACTTTCTTGTTATTCTTATATTTTGGTCTACGTTCCGCGTTCGTATACAAAATAAATGTGTCGATATACGCAGCTATTGTTCGCCATCGTCATTTGTAAAGTCAAATACGATGTCTTCTGCATCCCTTGTGCGATCCTGGATGGACTGAACGGATTACTCGATCGGCCACTGTCGGTGTAATTCCTTTCGTAAACGAATCAAAAGCGGATAGAAATTGCTCGTTTAATTTCTGCTTATCGAACTCGCAAATCCACCGTGTTGCGACATCCAAAAAGAAAAAACGTGTGCAGAATGTTCGCGCGTTTACCAGCCGGTGTATCTCCGAAGCCGTCGAGAAAATGTTTGCACCGAACGTTGAAAGCGGTGCACGTTGCTAAGCGTTTCGCGGATCTCGGTCCGGCGATATTAGATATTTCGCAGTTCGAACAATTATTATGGTATAACTTCGCCGGCAAGTTGCTCGCGCGATTACGGAATTTAATTAGCTGCACGGGTTGGTCCCAACGGATTTTAATATCCCGAACACAGCGTGCTTCCTCGCTCCTAACGATCGTTTTTGCGTCGCCGCGTAGCGAAATAAAAAGCCGAGGAGGCCACCGAATACATAGGAAGTCGACTCGTTAAGATCGATAAAAACGCGAGATCGGGCGCAAAATTCCGCGCGCATCGCTGATACTCGCGCCCCGTCGAACGTAGAAAAATCTCTGGGAGAGCAACGACGCCGCGGTTCTCGACTCTCGAACGATTACAACCCCTTCCTTCCTGATTATAGACACTGCTTGCGAACATCGATTTTTGCACGAGCAATTAAACGAGATTTCCGGAAGAACTTCCGAGAATCGTCTGCGACAGTTGCAAGACGCGGGAGTCAAGTGCAACATTTTTCCTTCCTTAAATAATTTTAATAAGTTGAAACTCGTACAGTCGTTTCTCCCTAATTCGCGCTCAGATTGCGCACAAAAATAGACAATTTAAGGGTGAATACAATTATTCGAGCCTTGCGGCTCGTTTTTTATAGTTACCGATCGTGTAACATCGATAAAAAAGAAACGCAAAGCTCGAACAATCGTATCTCCTCTTCCGAAATTGTCCATTCTCGTGCGCAATCTGAGCGCGAATTAGAAAGTAATTACTGTACATCGACATTTTCAGCTTCTTTCGATCTGTTCCCAATTTTGCTTCTTCCCCGCAAACACTGTTTCCGCGCCGTTCTCGCGTTTGCCCGGTTTTCGGAAGTTCAGCCGGACTTTTCGCGGGTCGATCGCCGATCGGTTCGATCTTAATTGCTCTTCTTCGGAGAGGGTTGGAAGGAGTACACGCGATACATGGGCGAGTATGGCTCGACCTCCCCGTCGCTGTCGCCTTCATCCCCCGTGGGATCGTCTCTGTCCGGTTTCGAGGATCGATATATCCGACTTTTCTCGTACAGCGGCACTGCTGGAAGAAATATCACGTTTAGTTTCCGCTGTCCAGAAAGAGCCAACCCTCAAACCTCGACGCGTCGGCCGGAACGTAATTGCGCGACGTTATTTTTAGCGAACGGTTCGCTTCATTTTTAATAATAATATGGACGTTGGAAATTGCCGGCACCGAAGTTTCGCCAAGGAGCAGCTGGTGGTTCCATTTTGTTGACTTTTCGCGAAGTTTATCTCGTTACATCCCGTGTTAATGTTTCATTAATTGAAACTCGGGCAGTCCGAGTTATTATATTCGCGTGCTCGACTCTTTTTAAACTCGAGCATTACAATCACAGGCATATTATTAACCGGTTAGCTGTGTTCGACGAGTATACTCGTCGTCGCTCTGGAAAGCAGGCGCCACAGCTAACCCGTTAACCCTTTGCACTCGAACGGTGACTCCGAAACACCGCTAAAATTCTTAATTCACGTCCTAAAATCATTTTTATATCATCAAAGTTTAGATTTCAAAAATTGTTAAAAGTTTCACTGTTATACGAGTCATCGCAAGACTCAATTTCGTATGCACAAAATACACTTTGTCATATAAAATGGAGATACTATAAATCGAAAGAATTATTTTATGGCTTCGAGCGCAAAGGGTTAATACACGTGTCAACAAGAATTCTATAGAACGAATTATCCGACTATACGACGCTTGGCAAACAAAAGTCGTCTTTTAGAAAAGCAGCAAAATTCCGAGTTCCCGATCGAATGTTAAAGTTATGTCGTTGAGCAACGGGAAGTTCGCGTAAACAACGCACAGTGCACAGAGAGAGACGCGTTTGAATTCTTTAACAGGCGACTGGGTAGAACCTGCCGACTCGTCGTAAATACCGAGAATTAACATGTCGTGATCGTGCAGCAGACTGAGACGAGTTTACGTACAAGACAAATTCGCAGCCTTTCCTCGCTCCTCGATGGCTTCCAACGGTAGCACATTGTTCTCGCGTTCTTCCGCGGCCGATGTGCACGGCGGAGCAGCTGAAAAAGCTCCCGTCACGTCGTCCGTTTTTTGCGGGGTCTCGTAATTTTGAAGTGGCACCGTGCCGACCACTATATTTGTTCGCAGTTTCAAGTTCTTTTGAAACATTCTGTAGTACCACTCGCTCACGTCTACGCAGGCTTCGACCTGTTAACAGGGAAAATATTTCGTATATACGTGCGTACACGAAGTTCCGAAACCATTCGCGCTCTCGAAGGCGTGCTTGTTCCGTTCCCGTACAAACGATTTTCTGCTTCGCAATCAGAAATTGATATGTTGACGCTCCGACTGCCACGTACATTACATCTTTGGCATTTTGTTTTCGCCGTAACGTATTTGTTGTAAACCGAAATTCATTAGAATTTGCGAGAATTAAGATGATTGAACTTAAACTCTGCTGAAATTTCCAGTCGTCTCGTATTGTTTGTCTTCGATCTGGTGTTCTTAAATTTAAAAATTGCACGTAGTTTTGCATATTTTGAAATTTTAACAACAGGAGAAAGTTTGAGAGACCATGGCATAAATAATTAATGTCGTGTCAGTCAAATGTGTCAGCGTTAATCCCATTCTTTATCCAGACTTGAAACCTAATTTTTGTATCAACAAATCTGAGAAAATCCAGCTACATTATTCACGAGTTCTAAAATGATTGAAAAAGTAATCGCTGTAACTTTCAACTTTCCAGCATCGGTTCGATCTATCGAGTCATTTCGCAGGATCTCAAGCCTGTTTTCGAAACAAGAACGAATTTTTCTGCAAAGACCGTTTCTAATTTCAGAACTTTCATGTTGAATGTGCTGAGATTAAAATATTAAATATAGAGATAGATAAAATTAAAATATTCGAGACGTTATTTTTGCAGAAAATGTCGTTGCAAAAAGACAATTGCATTATAGTAGAAAGTGCTCTTGTTAGTGTGCGGTGCTGTTCGAGAATTGGGATAGTCTCACTTTAAGTGTATACAGAACGTCGATGATGCTGCAGTGGATCATCCCTGTGGGCGGTACTGCAGGAACGTCGAACGTGATGTCGTACGAGTGGGATTCTTTGTTAACAGGTTGTTCTACTTCTACTACGATCTCTTTATGCTTACGGAACTTTTCCGTCGAATGATATGTCACCGCCTAAGGAAAGACACAATATAGACAAAGAATCGTCGAACGAAACTTCGATAATAAGGAGAACATTGATCCAACAAGATTCGAGAAAATTACTATAGTAAATTCTCCCTAATTGATGCTCGGATCGTACGCAAAAATGGTCCATTTCCCTGTGCACAGTCTGAACGTCGATTAGGGAGAATTTACTTTACTTCGCATGCACGCGCGACATTCTCTTGAAAAACCGACGAAAGTAATTTGCAAACTTCGTTTTCATTACGACGCTACGATTTCGTAATTAGTTTACGTTCAAATAGAACGCATCGTTTATTATATATGGCAATAGAATGTTAACGGAAATTACTATTTTATAAACGCTATTATCCGAAAGTATTTGGACACGTGCAACGTAATGGAGTCTCTCAATATTCTTGACAATCGGAATCGTGTTTTTATTTGAAAGCGAGAGCGACGAAAAGCTCGTGGCTAAAAATTGGTTAAAATTGATGCTCTACTTCGGCGGAGTTCTCGTTAAACCGAATGGTTTGGCAACCCTAATCCAGACGCAGAGTTTCGAAACTTTTTTCATCTTCTGGCGGCTTGATTAAGTTGTTAGTCATTCATACGAAATCTAGTTAGAAAATTGACGCTCCGCGGGTGAGTTGCGTGCGAAAAGAGTTCGTAGGCGTCTCTTAAACAAATATACTTATGAAAAGAAAAGTAACGACGCGAGAATATAATTTATTAGATTGAAGCACGTGTCGAAATACTCGTGAATTGTATCGCGGACTACAACAAAATTCTATAAAGAACGGACGAAGTTTACTTTTTTAAAAACGACTCTGATCTTCCTGATCACGATCGCGGTTGGGTTGGTCAAGACGATCATGATCGGTATCGTTTGCCCAGGAACATAACCATGAACCGGAAGAGACATGGATATACTGATTGGTTCGGTTTGTCCCAGGTAGACCTTCGATTGTTGAATGTGTAAGGGCAACTGCAAAGGATCGTCAAAATTAGTGGTCGACTTAAAAATACGTAGCAGTTGACAGTAAATATGGATGGGTAAACATTTCCATACGAATAGAAAAATAGCAGAATAGAAGGAGTAGAAGAATAGGAAAATAGAAAAATAGCAGAATAGAAGGAATAGAAGAATAGGAGAATAGAAAAATAGCAGAATAGAAGGAATAGAATAATAGGAAAATAGAAAAATAGCAGAATAGAA